TCACACTCACACACACACACACACACACACACACACACATAGACACACACATGTTATCCTTTGCCCAACATGCAGCTCTTTGTCAAGTGTTTACAAAGTCTTATTTTTACATACGTTTCTACACATACAGTACACAGACACAAACCGTTAAAAAGTTTGGGGTCAGTATGTTTTCTCACTCTCCCTCTCTTAAGCTCACAGAGGCTGCATTGTTTTGTTTAAAAAAATAGTAAAAACAGAAATTTTGTGAAATATTATTACAATTTAAAATAAGTCTTTTCTGTTTTAGTATTTTTTAAGATGTAATTTATTCCTGTGATGGCAGAGCTGAATTTTCAGTCTTCAGTGTCACATGATCCTTCAGAAATCATTTTAATATGCTGATTTTGAGATCAAGAAACATTAATTTTTATTTATTTATTTATGTTAAGCTCCAAAGAACAGCATCTAATAACAACAGAAATGGTTTTCTAATAATATACATGTTTTTTTGCTGTCGCATTTGAACAGTTTAATAAAATTGTTAATTTTCATTAAAAAGTATCTTACAAACTTTTATAACTTTTTTAAACTTAGTGTATATATTAAATGTGAGTTGAAGCTCAGCATTTATATACTGTATGTTATATTCTGTGCAATTGAATGTTGTCCTAAGCAGGCTATATGCTATAAAACTGTAACAGTAGCCTACCAATATTTTATGTTCATTTATTTATTAATTTGGTAAGTAACCATGCAATTAGCAGGGTAACAAAGTTAGCTGGTGATTATTGCAAAATAAACCCCTGAAGGCTGATTCAAGTCCCTACTGTTTCCGGTCAGGTTTGTTTTTAATTAAAGACTGACTGACTCTTTGTTGTGCCATACATATACCATAAACATCTCATTATAATCTTCCTTCTGTCCATTGATCTCTTTCCAGGGTATGGGGCCGTCCAGTATACCGTCTGTGCCCCTCATGGTGGGCTGTGGCATATCCTGTACGGCTCTTCTCATTCTGCTGCTCATCTACGCTGCCTTTTGGAGGTGAGATCATCAAAACCCTTCACTGACCCACAGCCACCAACACAACACTGATCTACAGAGGACCGTTTTTGAATGTAGTTTCCAGGTTCTGCTGTCCTCTGCTGATAATAGGATATTACTGTGCTATTTTTTCACTATTCCCCTCGTTTACTTCCCGGTGCTCTCACAGGTACACTTACACCTTAAAAGATTATTTTTTTCAGACTGTAGCTTCCCACGTGGGGTTGCCGAGGCTGGGATAGAGCAGCTGGCATGGGGTAGATCTACAGTGGGCCAAAACTGCAATTAGCAATAATTGGGAACAAATGAGGGATGGTGGGAGCCGCCTGTGGCAGGACAGGATTATGTGGAGAGTGCTAGTGAAGGCTAGCATAGTTGCTAAAAACTCAGTGTGGCAGATGGCCCAGGTCAGTCACGTGATCAGCTAACACCATGCCCAGATAAAGGCCAACACTTAGTCAAGTGCTTAGTCAAGTATTTATCTCCTCAGAAGTATGACAAATGATGCTAGATTATTTTTTCACTACATTGTTTATATATTAAATACTATTAATATAAAATATTTGTCACATGATCCTTCTGAAATCATTCTAATATGCTGATTTGGTGCTTAAGAAACATTACTTATTATTATCAATGTTGAAAACAGTTGTGCTGCTTAATACATTTGTGGAATCCTTGATCATTTTTCGCAGGGTTTTTTGATGAAAAGAAATGTTTTTGTCACAGTACTACAGTCTTTACTGTCACTATTGATTAAACTAATGTGTCCTTGCTGAATGAAAGTAATAATCTCTTTACAAAAAAAAAAAGAAAGAAGAAGAAGCATGTTTATGTATGAAATGTTTTGGTCAAAGAGTGTATTTGTAAATTATTGATATTATATATTATAATGTGTTATACTATTTTTATATATAATGTGTAGTACTATTTTGTTGTATAATGCAATGCAATTCATTCATTATTCATTCACTTTTAAGGGTGTTTGAGTTGGTTTAAATGACCTGATACTTCGGATCCAAATGATTTTTACCCCCGTCCCATAATTCCTGAGTAGCAGGTGGGAAGGTATTTCCTCTCTCCAAGATTAGTGCATCTGCCACCCCACCAGAGAGCTTATCACAGGCCTGCCCTTTCACTCAGACCATTGATCCAGGGGACGCTGTCATTGTCCTCTTGAGCAGATCTGGCCAGAGCTCAAATAGCGAATGAGGACATTTTGCTCACTGGTGCTTGTGTGTAAGATGCTGTTTTGGAGTTCATCTGCAGGTCACCTGGGATGCTGCTCTAGTTGTCAGTGTTAAGTGAAGTGAAAAAAAGGATAAATGGATTTTGAAAATGGGTCCCACACATTTTATGTCATAAACCTGTATATCAAGCCTTTTGTAAAGATAATAATGTGATAAGAGCAAAACAAAGTTGCTGATAAAGTTCTGAGCGTGTGATTTTCCTGTTTTTCTTTGATTTTCAGGTACATTCGTTCAGAGAGGTCCATCATCTTGGTGAACTTCTGCCTGTCCATACTGGCCTCCAATGTGCTGATACTGGTGGGACAGTCCCAAACTCTCAGTAAGGTGAGTATGTGTGCACATTTGTGTTTCTCTGATGTATATGAGAGAAAGAGTTTGAGAAAGAACAACCTTTAGGTTCCCATCTTGACGCCTTCATGTTTGGCTACAATTTGAAGATTATTCTGGGGAAGTAAATGTTCTTCTGGCAAGGTCTACATGAAATTAGTTAATTTATTAAACATAATAAATAACAATTTTGTGTTTCTGAAAGTAGCCCCTGTTGTTGTTAATGATAATATTTGTATATGTCATATTAAAAATATATATATTTTTTTTTTTATAAAAACACCAAACTCACCTTATCATTTTAAATAATAATAATAATAATAATAATAATTTGTATAACTGTTAGTTAAAGTATAGTTTTAAATGCATTTGTGAATTAAAATTATTATTATTATTATTATTATTATTATTATTATTATTATTATCATTATTATTATTATTATCATTATCATCATCAAATAATTGTATATAACTGCCCTTCATTTAATAATAACCATTTATATGACTGCATTTCAGTTTTCAATATGGAATAACCATAACACTATTAGCTAATAACTAAAATTATTAATATTATTATTATTATAAGATACATACACATTTTTTCTTTGAATTTAATTACATTTTAATTCTACTTTTCAAATTACAATTCTAAGTCTTCATACAAATTCAGTTCAAATTCCAAAAATACATTGGAATGCAAAATACATTCAATTTAAAAGTGAGTTCTGAATGGCACTTAACCTTGGGTCCCAGACTCCTTAGAGATAGTAGTCTGTCTGTGGTACAGGTAACTGGTGTTTGTTCTCTCTCTAGCCTGTCATGACAATATGTAAATGGCCATGATAGAATTTGAGAAAGTCAGGCAGGTGCTTGTAGCAGACAGACAGACGTGTGGAAGGCGCTGGAGGGTCAGCTTTGTGTCAGCCGTGACAGTCACACTGAGAGAGCGTAAGATAGACTACAGAGGCACCTGAGAAATAAGTGCTGTCATTCAAACCCAACCTGTCGCTCAGAGCTACAAAGAAAGCCAGAGACCAGCAAAGGAACTGCTCGTAGGACCCCTTCCCCCTCAATCCAGACTTAATATTTCACTAAATTCTCATATTCGGCATAAGTTTCAGAAAGTACAGATAAGCCTAATTTCGGAAGCCATGAATGGTGTGAACCCCTTCTAATTTCCTGGGTCATTTGCTGAGCGGGCCGGTGTTTAGCATTAGAATATGCACCTCATTATTGTATAAAACCTTAGCGAGATACTCTGCTTACTGCTTCTCATTTGCATTCGCCGGTTATTTAAATCATACTTTGCTTTAATTCTAGCCTGCCATTTTTCCTTAGAAACTATTCAACCTTTAACTTACCCATTTTCACTTTTTAAGTACCGTCTACGAGGAAAAAAGCATAGACAGGGTGTGTTGTTAGAGCTCATTTTCACACCACATCGAAACCAGATGGACTTTCGTTAATGTCCGCGGCTCGTTCCCACTTCTCCTTATCAATCACTTCATCTCTCTCTCCCTCTTGGCTTTGATAACAAGCAGCTGAGAGCCATTTGCACCTCTTCTTGCTTCCTGTACTTTCTCACACATCTTTTTCGTCATATCTTACTCCTTATTCCTCTCTGTTTCTTTCTTCTTCCCTCTTTTGTCTCTAGGGACTGTGCACTGTGACGGCTGCCTTTTTGCACTTCTTCTTTCTGGCCTCTTTCTGCTGGGTACTGACAGAGGCATGGCAGTCCTACCTGGCTGTGATTGGCAAGATGAGGTCCCGCCTCATTCGCAAGCGTTTTCTGTGCCTGGGCTGGGGTAGGACACCCACACACACACCACAACTAACATCGAAGGTCAAAAGCGATGTTATTGTAGTGCTTCAGTTTCAGTTTTTGATCCATATGGAGTATAACATTGGTTTTGGACCAAGCAGGAGTATAACATGCCAGTTCTTATCAATTCAGTCACATCAGATTGTCTGCAATGTCAGTTTGCTTCAATGGAGCCAAATGACACACCATAAGCATGCCACTGGAGCTCAATGTTACTTCTGTATTACAAGACGTAGATGTCTGATCATTGATAAGAAATGCATTTGGTGCCACCATCTTAACACAGGCAGGATCTAACAGGGTATTCAAGCACTTGCAGTAGCACACACACACTTGTTTTGTAACTTATTGATCCACTATCACTTCCATTAATTCATAGATGCCCTTTGCAGATATTGTAGAATAGCATTGCCTCCCACAGGGAAGTGGTATTACATATGTGTGTGTGTGTGTGTGCTGTCTGTTGCAAGATATATTATATATTTATAAATTATATATTTATAATGATTTTTTATGTTTTCATGATTTTCTGTTTGTGTGTTATTTTTATGTTGCTTGAAAAAAATAATACAATACTGAGCTGAACAGCCATCCGTAAAGAAACATTATTTTACCCACGTAGTGTAGTGTAGTTACAGAATCGACCAGGAGGAGCAAAGTGACTATTCTAACTATCCAAACCATGACCCCCTGCAGGTTACAGTATGAAACGATCACAGCTGGAATCCAGAGCAAACTTTCTTCATTGTGTGCTGCTTCCTCCAGAGCCAAATTTGGATCAAGTTCATCCCCTCCTTTCCCACGTCTTTCAGTCCTGTTCTCTAAACTGGAGTTTTTCTAATTGGCTTTAATTTCCAGAGTTAATCAGAGCATTGTTAATTACATGAATATTTCAGAGGAGAGCTCATTATGTGTGGACGTGGCACACAGACATAGGGCGAGAAGAATGGATAGGTCTAATTAGCACATGAGTAAAGCTGGCCTCCCTGACTGTGATGGCAGACACAATAGGGATGGCACCAGAAGGAGAGTCCAGAAAGCTCTCACAGACACAGAGAGGGGAAAGGATTCTACAAAGTAAAGGTCACTGTAAACGTCATTGTAATCAAGGACCAAGAAGTACACCTTCCTCAGTCTAGAGATGGGAAACCTCATGCTGAAAAGATGTTTAGTTATGACATTGTTTACTGTTGTATATAAAATAGCAAAATGCATTTTTTTTTATTCCTGTAGGGGGAATATCTATATTCATGAACTCATGAACATTTAGTATTATATAGTTTTCTTGCAAGGAAGACAATTAAATAAATACAATATATATATATATATATATATATACAGTATATATATATTGCATGTTCATAACCTGATAAATGGAAATGTACCCCATCCATGTATTATAAATCTAGCTGTAAACAAATATAAGACTATTTTTACACATTGTGTCATTAGATTTTCTGAACTGAAATATATTAAATACATAGAGTACATTTGAAAGATAACACCTGAAGCAAAACACAGTAATGTGCATTTAGTGACATTATACTGTATGATATAAAATACATTAAATCAATTTAACAATGTGTTATACAAACCATACAAGTTGTAAGATGAAGAGGTTGTATTTAATATATCCTTTTCAATTTCTTAATTAAAATAATTAAGAAATAAACGTGGTATACTGAACATGCTACTATTACACTTTGTGCCATTGGATTTCTGAACTGAAACATATTAAATATATACATTTGAAAGTTGAGACCTGAAGCAAAACACAGTAATGTACATTTAATGACATGATACTGTATGACATAAAAGCTCTTTGGTTCCAGCTAACATTCACAGTGTTGCTATAAGAGGGTCACAGTGCTTGCTCTGTGTACTTGCCCTGTGGAGCGCTCTTAGAGAATACAGACAGGAACGTTTACACTGCTACACTTTGGCCTCATAAATAAAGACATACACAGAGGCCCACGGGAATTCTGTCTGCTAAAGTAGTGTGTCTGGGGTCTGGGAGGACACTGCACACAGGGGGAATGGTGTACCTGTACGCCATGTGCATTTGTCCATGAAAAGGGCACAAGCTAAAGAAAGTCACCAATGTGAGAGAAGATTACTTCAGCTAACTTCCCCTCTGGCCATTTGCCATTAATGGTTCTAAAAAAAATGAAAAATTCTAGGTTGCATTTTCTGTTCATAATTTTCATTTTAGCAATGCCTGTCCTCTGTTATTATATATGGTGGGCAATTTTCTCATGCAGGCTAAATGTATAACAACTCTCGGTCAGTATTTAAATAGTCAAAAAAAAATTTTTTTCAGAGTTTTTCAGAATTTCAACTCAATTTTCTTTATCAGTAAATTATTTCAATTAACTTTACCACCACATTTTGCATTTAAAATACTAATTATAAGTTTTATAACTTAGTAGTAAATATATAAACAAAGTTTTTAATTTCAGTGGGTTTAGTTTTTTTTTTTTTTTTTTCTCCTTTCCTCATCATAAGCTTTATTTTGCAGGTCTTCCAGCCCTTGTGGTCGCTGTATCTGTGGGTTTTACCCGGGCCAGAGGTTATGGCACGTCAAGTTAGTAAGTATCACTGATGCAGCACAGTCTCACAAGGAAAACATTTATCTTACATTAAAACATTGTTCTGGTGCTATTTTGAGGGTTAAAGTACATCAAGTCTCAGTGATCTTTGGATGTTTAAAAGAATACGGACGTACCTACAGTACATCTCAAATACATAAAGATATGTTTTTGTTAAAGTCATTTTGTATGATCACAGAGTTCTCTGTATAATGTTATAACACATAGTGTATAATGCAACACATAAGCAGTAAACACACTTACCTGATACATGAAATATACAAATTATTGCCATCGAGTTAATAATCAATCTTTACAAACTACAGTACTTTCCAGAAAATAAGTTGCACCTGACTATAAGTTGCACTGGGTCAGCATTGCATTGTCCAAAAGTTATGTTTGTTGTTCTATGAGTTACATTTTATTACATTCAGAAATAATGTAAAATACCAGTAAATAAAGCAAAACATTTACAAATATTCTAACCACTATAAAAATGCTCATAACACATTTCATTCCAGTATACAGTTTTGCAATTCTAAGAATGATGATTTGATATCTAAAAAATGATCAAAATATCCTAATGTTAAGAGACCAGTGAGCAGAGTATATATTTATAATCCAAATCAACTTCTGAAAATAGCCAAGGTTTTACCAACTGATATGATGCCTAGATGTTTCCTTCTTTAGAGCTACATTGTGATGCACAGACGTTTTTGTGAGTGTGTGTTGCCTAATGTTGACCTTTTACATTGGAAGAAATTATTCAACAAGTATCTTCAGTCAGAGAGTCCTCAGAGAGTCCTGTTCCTCCTCTATTCCTGACTATGGATTTACACAAAGTGGTGGTCATTTTCTGCTGCACTGCATATAATGGTTTCTATCTTCACTGCACTGCTAAGCAATTGATTTAAAAGAGGGAGCTCCCTGACTAATCGGAGACAAAATTTGAAAACAATGGTGGCCTTTGAGAGCTTTAATAGGATACGTCTAAAACATGGATTCCCCTCAAACAAAAGGACACATTTTGGAAACAGTGGAAGAATTCAGTGGCCTCAGATAACCTCACCGCTGGGCTCAGTAACAGCCTCCTTACTGCACAGTCACTCTTCTCTACAGTCTTCCACACACGAATACATGATTGAGTGCATATGTCTGTGATCCTTTCACAGCGGACATTTCACAAGGATGTCAGAATACAAATTAAATTGAAATCTGTTTGATTGCATTTGACCAGAACATTAGCAAATGTTGAAACAGCTCCATTAAAATCATGATTAATAATGCTTCTCTACAGAGTATGACCTTCCAGCTTTTTCAGAGCTGTTTGTGTAGAACTTTACCAGGCATATCTTTATCTGTCTATTAGCTATGAAGTTTTATTTGATCTCTGCAATGAAAGCATTTTAACAATATAGTATTTCTAAAAACAAAGTAGTAAGATGGATAGGTTGTTTTTGAGATATCCTCTTCAGTTTCTTAATTTAGGGAATACATTTTGTTAGAATCCAAGCTGACTTAATTTATTGTAACAACGTTCGTAGGTCGGGAAGAAGGAGGCGGGAACCGGCGAACATTTAAGATTTTAATAATAAAATAAACAAACACAAAATGAAAGTAAAGCGGCAGCCCATCGCGAATGACTGCGGCACACAAAACACAACATAAAGTCCAGGCCTGGTCCTCTCTCGTCTTTCACTGTCGTCACTCCTCCTTTTATCCTTCCGGAGCTCCTCCGTGGGACTCGAGACCGGTGAGTGGTGCAGGTGTCGCTCATTATCAATTACTCCACCGGCCTCGCTCCGTTCCCACGGCTCTTGGCCCCGCCCCCACTCATCACATACCCCCATTGCCCCTCGCAGGCCGGGGGGTACTCCCGAGACTGCGCTCTACTCCCCCCTCCCCCCTCTGGGGGAACCGATCACAGCGGCCGCGGCGTACCTGGGGGTAAGGACAGACAGACGAGGAAAGAGAAAAGGAGACGGAAGGATGAGGAGAGACAGATACGAGAGAGGGGAGAGAGGAAAAAAAAAATTATCGGTCAGGTTCCCGGACACACTGCGGCTTGGTTCTCAACTGGCTGAGAGGCTCTCACTCGCGGTGCCATGCGATGGTACTGGACATCGTTGGTGGACAGCCCACCGCTCCTCCACCTCCTGGCGGACAGCGATGGCTCCTCCTGTTGAGGGCAGCCGGCAGCGAGTCCCCCGTTCCCTGCTCCTCCCCAATCATGGCGGATGGCAGCAGGCTCTGGCCTCCTGGCGAACGGGGCCGACTCCTCCGCTCCTCTCGGACGGCAGCCACCCCTCCTCGACCCAGGAGCACGGCAGCGAGCTCTCCGTCCCACCTCGTCTTCCATAGTTCCAGCACCACCGCCTCGGGCACCGCGATCTCCTCAGCACCGCGATCCCCCTCAGCAGCGAGGGCTTTCTGACAGCGTGTCCCTCCTTCCTCCCGGGTTTCGGCACCAATGTAACAATGTTCGTAGGTCGGGAAGAAGGAGGCGGGAACCGGCGAACATTTAAGATTTTAATAATAAAGTAAACAAACACAAAATGAAAGTAAAGCGGCAGCCCCTCGCGGACGACTGCCGCACACAAAACACAACTTAGTCCAGGCCTGGTCCTCTCTCGTCTTTAACTGTCGTCACTCCTCCTTTTATCCTTCCGGAGCTCCTCCGTGGGACTCGAGACCGGTGAGTGGTGCAGGTGTCGCTCATTATCAATTACTCCACCAGCCTCGCTCCGTTCCCATGGCTCTCGGCCCCGACCCCACTCGTCACATTTATTATTCTACTTTCATTTAATCTTTATTTGTGTGAAGAAATATGATTAAAGGTTAATGAAAACTGCAAAAATAATTAATTTTCTATTTCTTTCTCGCCAACCCCCCTTTTTTTCTGAAGCCAACAAATGTCAACTCTCTCTATTGATTTGCAGTGTTTAAATTTCACTTTATCTCTTTCTCTCAATTTCAGTTGTTGGTTGTCGCTGGAAGGAGGGCTGCTCTATGCTTTTGTCGGTCCCGCTGCTGTCATTGTACTGGTAGGTCTCAGACTTTGTGCTTTTTCATTGGTTAGATTTAGCCAACATGAGCTCCGTCCACTTTAATATGCATTTTAAATATATCAAGCCAGCAGTCGAAGAGCATTTTCACTAATGAGATTAGAGTTGAGGGCTGTCTCATTTCAAATGTGTGTATTTTTCAGTGTAAAATGCATGAATGAACTTGATGAGCTTATTAGCCCAAAGTAACCAAAGTGTGTGTGCATATACTATCGTTCACAGCCCCGGTCTCAGGTGCTGTGTGTTTTCTGTGAGATGTTTGCATTGTTTTTCATGGTCAGATGTGATTTGCGTTGTTTGTTCCTTGGTGGTGCCGTGAAGCGGCCCACTCAAACAAACAACTGCAAATGAGATTTGGGCATCTGGAGATGCTGTCTCCCTCCTTGGAGAGGCAAATCTAATTAATGGAAAATAATTAATCTTGCCTCTAGCAAATAGTAAAATGGAGACCCATTGTCTAAGCAAGTGCCTTGCATGATCAGAATACGAACAGCACTGGTAAACGTGTTCGACTTAGTTGGTTCTATATGCTCTCGGAGCAGACTGAACAGACCGAGTGGTAATTTAACGCAGGGGATTTCAACAGGGGTTCTGTTGTGGGTCCAGCCAATTATTGTTTAATCTCAAATTATTTTTTGGGTAATGCTTGGATAAAATATTAGTAACATGAACGACTCGAGACCGGTGAGTGGTGCAGGTGTCGCTCATTATCAATTACTCCACCAGCCTCGCTCCGTTCCCATGGCTCTCGGCCCCGACCCCACTCGTCACATTTATTATTCTACTTTCATTTAATCTTTATTTGTGTGAAGAAATATGATTAAAGGTTAATGAAAACTGCAAAAATAATTAATTTTCTATTTCTTTCTCGCCAACCCCCCTTTTTTTCTGAAGCCAACAAATGTCAACTCTCTCTATTGATTTGCAGTGTTTAAATTTCACTTTATCTCTTTCTCTCAATTTCAGTTGTTGGTTGTCGCTGGAAGGAGGGCTGCTCTATGCTTTTGTCGGTCCCGCTGCTGTCATTGTACTGGTAGGTCTCAGACTTTGTGCTTTTTCATTGGTTAGATTTAGCCAACATGAGCTCCGTCCACTTTAATATGCATTTTAAATATATCAAGCCAGCAGTCGAAGAGCATTTTCACTAATGAGATTAGAGTTGAGGGCTGTCTCATTTCAAATGTGTGTATTTTTCAGTGTAAAATGCATGAATGAACTTGATGAGCTTATTAGCCCAAAGTAACCAAAGTGTGTGTGCATATACTATCGTTCACAGCCCCGGTCTCAGGTGCTGTGTGTTTTCTGTGAGATGTTTGCATTGTTTTTCATGGTCAGATGTGATTTGCGTTGTTTGTTCCTTGGTGGTGCCGTGAAGCGGCCCACTCAAACAAACAACTGCAAATGAGATTTGGGCATCTGGAGATGCTGTCTCCCTCCTTGGAGAGGCAAATCTAATTAATGGAAAATAATTAATCTTGCCTCTAGCAAATAGTAAAATGGAGACCCATTGTCTAAGCAAGTGCCTTGCATGATCAGAATACGAACAGCACTGGTAAACGTGTTCGACTTAGTTGGTTCTATATGCTCTCGGAGCAGACTGAACAGACCGAGTGGTAATTTAACGCAGGGGATTTCAACAGGGGTTCTGTTGTGGGTCCAGCCAATTATTGTTTAATCTCAAATTATTTTTTGGGTAATGCTTGGATAAAATATTAGTAACATGAACTAACAATGAAAAATATTGTTGTGTTTATTAATTTTATTCAACATACATTAATACATATTTAACATCTCAAACTGATAAAAATTAAAGGGGTCATATGATGCAATTTCAAGTTTTCCTTTCTCTTTGGAGTGTTACAAGCTGATATGAGATATTCTTAATCAAAGTTAAGACTCTGCCATGCCCCCCTACAACGGCTCGTTCTAACACGCCCCACATATCTACCTCACTATGTGGAAATATTAGCATAATGCGCCCAAATGTGCACGCAAAGAAAGAAGGCGTGGTTTCAGTAACCGCAGTTAGTAGCAGCCATGTCAGGGAGACGCTGTGTGTTTCTAGGCGAAAGCAAAAGCCCTTTATTTGGCCTTCTGAAAGTAGATGCATTTAGGAATCTTGAAGACCACTTACAACAGAACAGCAATGCATTTTATGCAATCTGGCGCTCCTGAATCAGCTACTGTTTTGTTATTAGTTTAAGTATTTGCTATTGACTGTTCAAATGCGGAGTTTTGCATATCGTGTGTGTGCGCGAGCGAGGGAGCAAGCGAGAGAGAGAGAGAGAGTGCAAGAGAGCGAGAGAGAGAGAGATAGAGAAGGGTGGGGGGGTCACATCACAGGAAGCGTTTGACAGAGGCGGGGCATAGAGGACCTACAATAATGTACAGTATTTGAAAAATAATGTGTTTTTTGAACATTAAAGCATGTCAACATATTCTGTTACACCAAATACACAAAATAATGATCTTTAAAAAAGCATCATATGACCCCTTTAATGTGTTATGAACAAAATGCACTACCATTCAAAAGTTTGGGGTCAGTAGGATATAGATTGGTAATAATTGGAAATGTTTCTTGAGCACAGAATATTAGCATGATATCTGAATGATAATGTGACACTGAAGAATGAAGTAATGACTGCTAAAAAGTCAGCTTCATGTCGCCGAAAATAAAATTACATTTGAAAATATATTCAAATAGAAAACAGTTATATTAAATTGTAATACCATTTTATATTATTGCTGTTTTTACTGTATTTTTGATCAAATAAATGCAGCCTTGGAAAGCATGAGATACTTCTTTAAAAAAAAAAAACATAAAAATAAAATCTTACCAACTGCAAACATTTGAACAATAAAGTATGTATAAATTATTTTAGATTTATAATATACATATTTGTAAATTAACATTAATCTAGAATAAAAAATACTGTAAACATTTTGCTCACTGTTACCTCATGATACCTAATGCATTAAAAAATGTTAATGAAATAACAGTTTCTCTCTTACATTAAAATGTATTAAGTAATACATAGTATTGTACTTGTATATGACATCACATCAAAAATAATTGATGTATCATAACAACATGGTGCTAAATGTATGTTATTGTAGGTTTAAAATCCAACACTCAGTTTTCAATAATATATACCAAGGGCTCATTTATTTGAAATAAACTGAAGATCCCTACTTTAACAAAGTTGAATGCAGCTGCCAAAGTCACAGTCCATGTGTTGGTGGTGTAGTGCAGTCAGATGTCACTTAACAGGAAGAGATTGTCAGTCTTGTAACCTACAACCATATGCCCTCCTGTTGTAATACAAGAGAACGTCTCGGGTTACTTATGTAACCATGGTTCCCTGAGTAGGGAACGAGACACTGCGTCCTCTAGGGGTCGCTATAGGGAATGCCTCGTCGTGACCCGTGTCTGAAGCATACATTGAAAAAACACCAACTCGTTGGCCGGCGACAGCCATGACGTTACTACCGGTGCGACTATAGTATAAATAGGCGCCGGGAGCACACATCATTCACTTCTTCGTCTGAAGCTTGTGTCTGCAGCATGGCAAGAAACCTAGAGGACGCAGTGTCTCGTTTCCTACTCAGGGAATCATGGTTACATAAGTAACCCGAGACGTTCCCTTTCATGGGAACTTCGAACTGCGTCCTCTAGGGGTCGCTATGGGGAACGGTATACCCACGCCACCATGCTGAGG